TGCTGTCACAATACACCACAACCAGAGTGTCCAGATTTAGCGATTTCGCGCCCTTTTGGCGGATTGTGCGATTTTATTATAACAAGATCTGATTTTTTAAATAAAAAATTTGATGAATCTATTTCATGAATTTTATATAAAAAATCGAGATATTTGGCGATTTTTTTCAGAAATTACGTTTTTTTTTAACAATCTGGACACCCTGACCACAACTACTATTCAGCGGCTGCGTCTGCAGCGACAGCGTTCGATAGCTTGAGGACAGGGTAGCCAACTCATTTTTGAGAATTCCCCGGAAATTTCGTAAAATTACCCACCCATAGATATCTCCTTATTTACAAAAAAAATTAGTGACATATTGCTGGTCTGTGTTTTCTTTTTTTAATGTAATTCAGCTATTTATGTATTAATAGACCAAACCAAACTTTTACAAAGTTGGTCAACAAATAAAGAAAAAAATGTACATATATGTAATGTTTACACACATACAGTGGTGGAGAAAGTTTCAGTCACGCCAAATTTTGACAAGTGTTTACAATTGTGTTTATTTTTTGTTATTAATTTGATTCATTTTTTTTTAATATAGTTAATTCTTTTACAAAAAAAATACAAATTTCAAACTTTGTGATATTAAAAAAAAATTCTACAAACTTTCGTAAAAATTTGAGCTTTTTAATTTGATTATCTAGAAAGATTTTAAATATGCAGCTTTGTAGCTCACTCAAATCTAGTAAGTGCAAGTTTCAAGTGGCTAAAAATTTTTGTTTTAATTTTTTTTTCTGAAAGTGTTGCGGGTTTCTTCCACATAAAAAAGGGGTGTTTATTCGTTATTCGACAAAGAAAATTCTAAATCAACGGTAATTTATATAAGTTGTATAATTGCATAGTCAGAACTTTTAGTTGCAGTTGCATTTCTTATGCGACTTTTTTACCTCATTATACAGTCAGTGAAGCAAAAAAGAATAAATTAGTTAACACCTAATTCCTCATAAAAAGCAGTTCATCTCCCGATCTGCACGTAAACTGAAATTCCCCACAAAAAACGATCTATTCCCCGATTCCCCACGCAAACTCAATTTCCCCGCAAATCGGGGAATTCCCTAAGAGTTGGCTTCCATGCTTGAGGGTAGTCTTAGTAATGATAATTTTTGTATTCTGTAAGTCAGTATGTCTTTTGATACTCTCCGGCTCAGGCCTATGTCGGTCGGATTAATAAACTATTGAAATGTGAACCATTCATTTTTATTTACTATAAAGGAGTTTATTTCTATCTGGCGCCCAAACGAAGGGTTAGTGCAACTACAATCATAATCATAGCGCAATTACAGTAAATCACGGGAAGACGAAGTGCCGTATGGAAAAATAACCACATCAAGAATCAACTGAGAGCAGAAGGAGAACAGTTAATTAAATATTGCAGACCGGAAATTGCAGCTATCAGCAAAAACGAAAAACCATGAAGTTAATGTAAGTTGGGAGACTCACTTTTCTTTTTGAATTAATAAATTTTTAAGTGAATATTAAAATTAAAACAAATTGAGTTTCTGAGTGAATATTTAAGCTGTAAACACATATGTAAAGGGCTTGTGGTGTGCGGCGTGCAGCCTGTCAAAATAAAATACGTGTAAACCATATGAACTGAACACAATCCACACCACAAGCCCAGGCTGTCGTTTGATTTCACCACAAGTTGTAGCCGAGCAAATTCTATTTTCGGGTGTTTTTACATTTCGCATCAGTGTTGGGAAATAAAATTGTTCCTTTAGTACGAAATCTATACAAATTTATTTATATTTTTGTATTTTTGAATGTAATTCTCTATGAAAAACGTGGTTCAAAAAATGGGCGTTTTTTAAGAACTATTTTTTAAATATTTTTCTTTATGACGAGATGGTTTATTTTGTGAGAATCAACAATTTTTTGTAATTTCTTTTCCAAAACTTGCGTTGAGATATATTTAGTAAGGTGTTAAACAACGAGTTTTTGCAACAATTTAAATTTTATTGTAGATTCCGATAGTATGCCAATCCAGGTATAATATTTGTACA